TGCATAGCTTGCTCACCTGCTATTTTTCTCTTAAACTCTAACAAATTTGGCTTTGAGCTTTCATTTGAGACAGGATTTCTCTAATGTAACCCTGACTGTCTTAGAACTCATTATATAGATCAGGCTGGCCTCCAACTCATGAAGATCCACCTGCCTTTGTATCTGCCCAGGGATTAAAATGTGTGTCACCACGCCCAGCTAAATCTTTTTTTGTTTGTTTTTGTTTGTTTGTTTTTGAGACAGGGTTTCTCTGTATAGCTCTGGATGTCCTGAAACTCACTCTGTAGACCAGGCTGGCCTCGAACTCAGAAATCCACCTGCCTCTGCCTCCCAAGTGCTGGGAATAAAGGCGTGTGCCACCACCGCCCGGCCCAGCTAAATCTTTTATTAATGAGACCAAGAACCCAAGGGGGGGGCCCTCCGATTTCATCCCTTGCACCAAAACCCAGAGCAGACCTCATGTTTTCCTACAGTAAGTAATAATGTGTATTATCTCTCCATCATTTCACTAAGATAGACTTCCCTTCCCCACCCCTTAACACAATGGGACTGTCTTAAGGTGTGTCTGATAGTACAGTCTTGTCCTGTGGTGTCTTACCCAGCCCCTCCAATCTCCCCACCCTAACCACATACAGAATCTGGATCTGGCAGCTCCTTCCATTTGAAGTTGAAGCCTTGGCAAAATTATACACCCAGCAGGCGAGAGATAAAGTAGAAATGTCTTACAAGGAACAGTAAAATCTGTTTCCTTGTTTTAAGACTTAACTACAAAAAAAGAAAAAAGTCCCACTAAATATTGTCTTGGCAACTATAAATACATTTTAGCAATGGTTAAAAACCTGAAGTAACAGTTAAAGCTATCTGAAACCTACTGTATGCCATTGTGTGTGTGTATGTGTGTGTGTATGTGATACACTTATAGACCCTTTGTTTCATTAAATGCTATGTAATTTCCACTTTGTTTTTCCCATCTGAGGCTTTATGTAATGTTTTACATGGCCAAGGAAGCAATTTGCCCTGCACTACTTAGGTAAACGAGGGGCTGGGAATATACATTAAGGGTAGCGCCTCCTTAGCGTGAACTTAGCACGCTTGTGCCCCATTACTAAGGATGGGAAACAAGATCATTTTTCCTAAACCAGGTGTGGTGACACAGGCTTGTAACTCAGGATTTGGGTGGTAGAGGCTGGAGAATCCGAAGGTTAAGGTCATTGTCTGCTAGCATGTAGACAGTGAAACTCTGTCTCAACAAACAAACAAAAACGGAACAATAAAAAGCTTTCTAAATAAAACTTTTTCACAGGGCTACACAGAGAAACCCTGTCTCGAAAAAACAAAAAAAAAACAAAAGCAAACAAAAAAAAACTTTTTCAAAACCCCAGGTACAGTGGTCTACAGCTTCTATCCCAGCATTCCTGAGGTGGAGGAAGATGAAACTCTGTGAGTGGGAGGTAGTTGGAGTTGAGCTACAGTCCCAGGCCAGACAGTAAGACCCTGTTTCAAAAATAAAAACAAACAAACAAAAAAGGGGGGGGGGGGGAGCAGCCGAAGAAATGGCTCAGCACCCACAAGGGAGGTTTACCTTTTTGTAACTCTAGTTCCAGGTGATCTAACGCCCTCTTCTGGCGACTTTGGGTACTGCATGCACTTATATTTTGCTGAAGTCAAAAATCTATAAAAATAAAATCTAACCTCCCCACCCCCCAAAATCAAACAGATCTCCCAGAAACTGGGAGGTCCTCTTTACCTTTCTTTTTCTTTCTCCCAAACTCTCAAGCCCAGGCTGACCTAAAACCCATGGCTTTATGTTCCCTATTTCGGAATGCTGGGATTTTTTGCAGGGCTGGATTTATTTTAATATTTTGGGGCTTTAGTTTTTGTGTTTTCAAACAGGGTTTCTCTGTGAAGTTCTGACGCTACTGAAACTCAGTCTGGCCTTCAACTCAGAAATCAGCCTGCCTCTGCCTCCCCAAGTGTTGAGAATAAAGGTGTGTGGCTAACGTCCCTGATCAGATTTATTTTCGAGCACGTGTGCATATGGGGGACACAAGGTGGGAATATGGCTTGGTGCTTATGGGCACTTTTTGCTCTTCCATTGGCCCAGAGTTCATTTCTTCATTCTGTAAGTCCAGCTCTTCTGGTTTCCTTAGGCACCCCAACATATGTGGTTTACAAAACATACACATGAATTAAAACAAACACAAAATGCTGATAAAAACATGAAACTAAGTTTCTTTTATAGATAGCAATGAATTCCATTTCTGTCTTTTTTTTCACACCCCTTTTAAAAACCACCACTTTTTGTTTTTGGAAACAAGATATCACCATCTAGTGAAGTCTGGCCTGGCACTTTCTAAAGAAAAATCCCACCATCTCTTGTCTCCAAGGAGCTGGGAGCAGAGGTGCGCACCCCCAAGGCAGCTTTGCTAATGACTTATTTGGGACACACAACTTACTCCACTTACCTTGAATACTAAATCCAAAACCAAAACAAAACACTGTATTTGACCCAAGCTTGGGTTTCTAACATTATGAACAAAGAAGAGATGATTTCTATTGATTTTTTTCTTAGACACAGTGAATGGTCGGCCAAAGATAGACACCGTCACAATTTAGGATAACGTTCTTTCTTTTTAAAAACCGAACACGGTCATTTTACATTTATAAAGCAACACAGCAGAGCGGTTTAAATGCAAAGCGAGCTTAAATGCTAACCGTTCCTGACTCTTCTGGGAAATCCTAGAAAACTAAACTAATGAAATGCAACGTCTCCTTTTATAATTCCAATTATAACTGTCACATTAAATTGAAGGTGAGGTTAAAACTGCTGCATCTGTTAACGCAGCCGAGTGAAGTGCTGTATCGTGCGTGTTATTTAACGCGCAAGTGTAAAAGTCAAGTTCCCTAAAGAAATCCAAGTGCTTCCACTTTGTCTCCTGGGAATGTATAAATTAACCATTCCTCCTCCTTTCCTCCCTCCTCCCTATTTTAAATGTAGATAGGGCGACCCAAGCCTTTTGAATTCGAAGGGCTGCTATCTCGGGCCCATTCTTTTCATCATCCTGTTTTGAATGACACTGAGCACATATAGATTCCCTTATAAAAGCACCCCTAGGATGCTCGGCTCCTTTCTCCAGGCTGCTAGCTAATTTTGCATAGTGATTAGTACTGACTTCTCCACTTCTGCAACCCAAACACCGCTCCAGAACGTTCCACAGTTCCTCCAAGATCTTCGGAGACCCAACTATGTGTCATTAGATTTCAAACCAGAAGGGGAGGAACTTGCGTAATGATTAAATTCCCAATTTGTGTGAGGACACAGTAATCCCTGACTACACGTTAATACCAGCCCTCGGCCGCGACTGGGACGCTAGGAGCCAGCATGTGCGTCCTTTTAAAATCTATTCTACGTATTCACTGACCGCGCCGGGCCGGGCCACATGGTCTCCTCTCGCAGCCAGTCAGCTGTAGGCAGCAGATGGGATCATTTGCATTTTTCTTTTTATACATTTTTTTCCATCGGCAAATTAAAGGATTAAAAAAAAATTTTAACATCCCCATTGTTTACTAAAACCACGCACGCGGGTTAAATGTTGACTTGGGCTTTTCTCTCCCCCACCCCCACTCCAAGTCCCCGAAAGTTGGGGAACTGCGAGGGGTAGGTTTCTTATTTCTCAACTCGGATTCTGCAGTCCGGGAAGCTAGGGGACAGTCGGTCTTAACTAGCTCGGCGACTGGAGTTTCCCCGTTTGCCGCGCGGAGCCTCGTGGGTCTGAGTTGGTGGCGTGAGGGTCCCCGAGCGCGTGCTTCGCCCCGCAGCCTCAAGCGGCCAAACTTGGGCTCCCGGAGCTCAGGCTTTACCGGAGAGGGCGGCCACCCTGCCGGGGGAGTGGCCAGGGAGCCCCCAGAGCCGGGGTCGCTCTTCGGCGTAGCCCCCCAACCACGAATCCATGCGGATGTGGAGGGGGGAGCGCACCCCGAAGTCTTTGTGCCCGGCGTGGCGCGGGAAGGTCCGCGCGAGGGTGCAGCGCCACCGCCGAGCGCCCCAAAAAGCGAAGGGCGAGGGCGGAAAAGCCACGCCGCGTTGCCTCGCTCCCCCCGCCCCCCAGCCCCCGGGGTGGGAGAAAAAGTAGAGAAAGAGGCACCGGGACCACGCTCCGAGCCGGAGAGCACGTAGCGGAGAATGCCGCGCGGCGCTCTGCCGTGGGTGCGAGCCGCCCTTGTGGGCCGGCAGCCGGCGCGGGCCCACGTGGAGCCGCGCTGTGCAGGCCGAGCGCGCCCGCCCCGCAGCGAGCCCCAGCTCCCCGCCGCGGTCGCTCACGCCCGAGCGCCGCCGCCGCCGCCGGTCCCGCGTGTGCCCCGCTGAGGGGGAGGGGCGGCGCGGTGGGGGCGGAGGGCTTGAGGTTCCACTGCAGCGGGGGCTCCTGTGTCCTTGTGCGGAAATGACACACGGAGTCCCGTCACGTCACGCGAGAGCGCAGCGCACGGACACACACAAAGAGAGGGGAAAATACACGGCGCCCGCCCGCCCGCC